ACACAATTAAGAACTTGTATATATTAGACAACTTGAAAGAAGAAAAAAAACTCAGTAGCGGAATGTTGGGTACCATGTTTTGGTTGGAATGAGTAAGGCTCTTCTAATTTGGTTCTTATCACTGTCTCCTTTGCAAAGGGTGAAAGAAAGATCCTAGTTTGGGAATTGCACACAACTTCACAAGCACCACAAATGTTGCCCAAATAAATACACGAAAGACCCAATTCAAGAGGTAATTAATTGACTATTCACGGGAAGCACCCACTCCTTTATTATGAGCATGACCAATGAAGCGTGATGCGTGGTGTTTGTTGCCTTTTATTAGTTCCTCTCACATAAAGTTGATGCCCCCCTTTTATTTCGTTTCTACATACCATGAACCTTCACCTTTTCACCATTAAATGGCCACGGAAGCTTATGGTACTTAAAATGCCCACTTTTCTCACTTTTGTTTCCCCCCAAAATGGTGTCTAGTACAATTGTGGCAAATTGGTCTTTCTTTTGTTCCCACTTAAGTACCACCACATGAATTGAGTTGAGTGACAAGTTTCAAATATCTTGTTTATTTCAGTAATATTACAAATAAAATATATATTATAGTAAATGCATTAATGTAACTCTTGAGTATTTATTTTAATTGTATACACAAATGTAATTAAAGGGTATTAATAACAAATCCTCCAAGAAATAGAAATTTCACATAAAGTTCAAGTTAAAAAAGTGAATCATGATAATGTTGTGATCTTCATTTATTTCTAATTTTTTAGTAAAATGATGGCTATAAATATGCAAGAGAGAGAATCAATAAAGAGAAATCACAACTCCTAAAAGTGTTTATCATTCAATATTTCAATAGTTATATTCTATACACGCTTCATTTAAAGCAAGTACTAATTATGATTTGACATTATTTGTTAAATGATTTGATATGTTTGTAATAATTCAAATTTTAATGATAATATTTTGTCTAATGGGTACACTTACAATTCGGGGTGTTCAAAGAACTTATTAAACTAAACTATTGTAAAAACTAAACTAAACTAGATATAAAAAAACTAAACTAATTTCTATAAAAACTAAACTAAACTATATTTTAAGTTTTAGTTTTAAAAACTAAACTATTATAGAAAGTAGTTTAGTGCACTATAGTTCTAAATAAATAATTAATTTATAGGATTAAAAAAATAATTTTTATTTATTAATTGAATAAAAATTTATATACCTTTCGTAATTATTACTCTTTCAATATTTTTAATATAAATATTATAAAAATTAAAAAAATGTATTATATATATATATACATATCTCTTTATTATCCAAATAATTTTATTTTTGATGCTAAAAAATATTATTATTTTAATAAAAATAATTTACAGATATTTCTTATAAATATTTTTATGAAAAATAATCTACAAGAAATTTTTGCAAATTTTGCTACAATTTTAATGATCAAAGAAAATTTTTTCCATGGTTAAAATTTACAGAAAATATTGTAAGAATTTTATTTTGTTTCTTGCAAATTTTCTTGCAAAAATAAATTTGCAAGTAATGTTTACTAAATTGTAGAAAAATTTTGCAGGTAACTTTTCCTGCGGATTTTTCTGTCAATTTTAATCTGCAAGAAAAATAAAAAAATATTTAAATTTATAAGTTTAATATTTTAAAAAAAAACTTCAAGTCCCACATCAATTGAACATAAAACAATTAAAGAATATATAAGTTGGGACAACACTTACCTTATAAGTTGATTTCTACGGTTGAGTGTTAGGCTTATAATCTACAATCTTAGAATTTAAAAGATTATATATCACATGTTGGGGCGTGAAAACAAATGTTTCGGATAAATTCATTGTGATCATTAATAATTTTTTTAATTTTTTTGTAAAAAATATTCTTGCAGAATTTCTTGCAAAAAAATTCGCAAGAAACTTTCTTGCGAATTTTTTTTGCAGGAAACTTTTCTGCGATTTTTTTTGTAGGAAACCTTCCTACGATTTTTTTGCAAGAAATTTTGCTGGAAAATTTCTTGCAAATTTTAAAATTCGCAAAAACATATTATCCACGAAGTTATTACCTGTAGATAAAATTTCACACAAAAAATTGTAGGAACAACGTTTCCTGCAAATTTTTATGAAAAATTCGCAGGAAAAATAGCATGTAATAAAAAATTATAATAGTGTTAATTCATAATTAATATCAATAATTTGGTAGCTCAATTTAAAAATGTTGATTTTAAATTTGTTTTTTTTAATGTAGTTCAATTTAGTTTATAGTTAATAATAGTTTAATTTAATTGATATTATAGTTTAGTTCAAACTCCTAGAACTATAGTGCACTAATCTAGATAATAGTTTAGTTTAGTTTAGTCAATATTTATTTTAGTTCAATTTAGTTTGGTGAACTATTTATTATAGTTTAGTTTAGTTTTCTTCTAGTTTAGTTTAATTTAGCAATTTGAACACCCCTATTTACAATTAGTTCGTACCTTTGTTGCATATTTTCTATGAAACTCTTTGCACCTAGTCTTCCACAAAATCTGCAACACTCATCGAGTGGAGACCTCCTAATCATATTATAAAGGTTAAAACCAACAATAAATTTTTTTTGGAATCTTGGTCAAACTGGGTTATATTTATTATGTCTTAAGGTGACCAAAGAAGCTACTATGCTTGTTGTATGTGTGAGACTAAATCACACATTTCTCTTTAGTTTATATCTTAAGGAGTTGTAGCTTGTCTTCCTCAAGATGCTATTATTGAAGCAATTTGATCACTCATACAATGTGCATGAAATTTTTTACTTTAATCATATGTTGAGATAAGGTGATGCCTGTGCAGATTAATCGACTAAATCTGGAGTCAACTTCTTTGTCTTTTTCTTTTTGCATGTTTGTCCTACAACTTTGTTTCCTCTCTTTTTTGTAGCAGATGCTATGAACACATTTTTTGTTAGGTGTTAGTCATGATTACACTTTTAGTGATCAATGTTAAAAAAATTTGAGTTGACCACATTGACATAATTTCTAATATGACAAATGACCAACTTGAATCTTATTGAAAATATGAAGGACCAATATGAACCTATTTAGTGACATAAATGACCAAATTGAATATATACACATCTAGTTTCATCGGTCCAAACCTAACAACTCCCTACATCAAGCCATATACAATTAATTACAATTAAGAAAGAGAGAAACCAAGATCAATTATATTATTTTTTGTGAACTAATTTTAGTTAAATATCAGAATATAAAATCTTTCCCT